GTGCTCATGGTCTGTGAATCACAGCAGCAACTCTTTTCCCTGAGCCTCACCTATTGTCCTCCTTGGCTTTTCATAGTAGATCAAACATCCTGTTACCAGACTGTGCATTTCTAACCCTGTAGTTACTTTTATGCCCTCCTCGATGAGTCTCTTGGAGGGTCTTTCATCACTCTCTGATAAGCAGGTTGGTGAGTAGCAGTGAGGGGCACAGAGGTCTGAAACATATGTTTCTTGTGAAGTGAGTCACAAGAGGAGGTGGATTCCAGCCAGGAGGGCCCTGCAGGGTGAAGCACACGTATGGTCCCTCTCAGCTGAGGTGAGCCGAGGTCCTGAGGAGCGGCCGCAGCACAGGCAGTACAAACCCCTCCCACCACGGGACTTTTTTTCCTGTGCTTTTCTCTGGTACTCTGGAAGGAGCTAAGTGTTCACGCTGCTCTCCCTTCCCTTCCCGCACGACAGGTAATAGTGGTGCGGATCTTGTGCTTCACTTGCATTTTATCACGTTTGCATCGGGGCACGGGAAAGTTCAAGCTCATACGGGGAAATGCACGCTTGGATGAGGATGACGCCGCTGGGACGTGGCAGGACATCAACAGCCCCCGGGGTGCTTAGGGATGAGGGCTGTCCACTGGAACTAGGGACATGCCGAGAAAAGGTGTGTCTGATCCACTACCCAGATCCTCTGCCAGTACACGCCCCGTGGAGCTGGTATGCAGTGACGGCATCGTATATTCTCTGGCTGCTTTCAGGAAACCCGAGTGGTCACACATGTTTTCTCTGATAAGGATCTTGCCACTCCCAGGCAGAGAGTCCTGCCCCGGTGTTAAAGAGGAGCGGTGCTGTGACTCCTCACTCTCGATCTGAAGGCACTTAGTCAGGGCCTTGTTTTCCCCAGCTCTAAAATGGGGTTAGTAATACACAGTTGAGATTATGTGTTTCCCAGGTGTGGGATTTCACAGGTAGCCATAAAACGAAATTTATTGTACTGAGAGAAAGTACGCAGTACTTTGAGAGCCTGAAAAGACTGCATTGAAATGCTTATTTTAGCTTTTATTGTGTTTGTTAGAGTGATTAGAAAAGCTGTTTTAAAGGGCTGCATACAAGCATTATACCTGTGTGTATAGTATAAACAGACACAGACAAACAGAGTTTAATCCTTTAAGATCATATCTACTAGAAAATGCCTTTTCTTTCATATATTCTATTAATCCTATATATTACCTGCTTGAGAAGTCACAGGTTGCTCAGAAATCTTAATATTTTCCGTGGGGTTACTGAGCTAACACCAAGCTAAATCCCAGGGGTTTGTGACTGTACGAACATGGTTGAAGTGGTACATTACAGCTGACACACACTGCTCTGTCATTCATGTGTGTACACATCTCGTGTCCAAGGGGCACTGCTCTGGAGATGAAGACACTTAAGAGGCCACAGGTGGTGGTATATGAAGCAGAAGAATGGAGAGGGTACAGCGAGGAGGGAGGAGTAGGAAGGATTGGGCAGACAAGGCCATGGAGAGGAAGAACTTTTAGGGAAACCCCTTCCAAAGCTCTCTGTCACCTCTGACTCCTGAGCCATGCCCACTGGACAAGCCCCTGGCACTGAACACGAGTCACCTCACTGCCTGCTTGCCTGCTTGCAGTGAGGTCTGTATTTCATGCATTAAAGCATCACCACTTCCTTCTTGCTCAAGGCCCTCTGCCAGACTATATATTAGACACTATGGAAGTAAAGGGATAACACAACCCTTCTGTGATCACGGGACTGCGACCTCATTGGGGTGTTGCTGCAAGAATGGAATGTAGGCAGACAGATGACAACCAGTCATCCCAAGACTGGCAGTAGTTTCTCTCTCTCCAGCATAATGGCTTGGCTTTAACGGAGAGCACAGACCACCTTGTGTTAATGAGTAATAAAAGCAATCGACCCGTAGTGCATTCATTGCTGAGCTGGAGGTGTGTGTAGTCAAGGTGATAAGGCTGTTATATTAGCAAAGTTTTGCTGCATCAATGCCATGCAGAGTAAAAGCTCGACAAGGCCAAGCTCTGACAGTTAAGTATTAGGATACTCTAATGCTTTGTTAGTGTCAAAGTACAGTTAGCATATGTAGTACAGCCTGCAAATCCATTGGAAAGCTGCACTGAGTCATGTCAGCCAGGTTTTAGGCTACACAAAGACATCTTGGGAGGTTATTTTGGGAGAGCTGTTTTCTAAAGCTGAGGGGACATCTGTCATGTAAGTTAGGAAAGCAGACTATGATGACAAACTGCAACAGACTTTGATTCAAGAAGATGCGGACTTATTTAAAATGAAGAATATTAAACATGCACCTTGCCAGTTTCCACTTAATATAGAATATTGTATTCTTTCCAGTAACTCTGTCAGATTCCATGGAACTGTTTGGACCTAAAGAAAGACCAGATATTGGATTGGCCTCTCTGTTAGGTGAAAAATCACAAACCATCTGCATTGTGTTGCACACACTGGAACAGTCTTACACCAGGGAAAACTGGAGGATCCCGACCTGCTCGGCTGCCGAGGCCAGGATGCTCCTGAGCCCTGAGTTAGATGCAAATGGCTGGAGCCACTTCCTGTCCTTGGTGACTCATGGTCAGGGAAGCACCGGCATCCTGCTCTAGGAAGGGTCGCTCTCCTGCCCTGCCCTGCAGGGAAGATGAACACAGGGAAGTGGCTGGAGCTGGTACAGCAACACAAATTGCTGGGCATATGGAAAATAAACAAGACTTTGCCATGACAGCTATGGAGAGATGAAGCAAGGCACATGCAGCACTCGTACCTCACAAGCTGCCTTCATCCCTTAGTGGAGTTTGCTGCTTGGTCTGACATGGATGGACATTTGATGGGCTAAACTGGAAGAGCAGATTATGATGTGCCCATCACAAAATCTTAGAAACACCTCTCTGGCTATGGTCCTACTCCTTCTCTGGGAGATTTTCACTTTCCACCTCTGTCAGGCTTTTATTGAGACATTTTCAGCATATACCAAGTAAGGAAAAATGACCCCTTTCTTTCCAGCTGGGCTTATCCTCTCTGAAAGAGGGTTGTATTTGGGTACAGGACAGAATGAGAAGGCAGGGAGAGTCATATGGCTATAATACATTTCTTGGCTAATCCAGGCTTTGCTAATGTCAAACTCAGGTCTTGCCACCTCTAATTCTGATTGTGAGAAGGCTCTCTCAGATTTTTCAGGCCTTTTCTGAGCTCACTTTTTCTGAGTTGCCACTAGAATACCTTTTAAAACTGGGTGCAGACACAAGGTAATGAATACAGTGCAAGACAAGTATAGGAAGATGATGTATATTGTCAATGCTTGTCTCATATAAATGCAATCTATTTAATGTGTCTAATGAAACCCATTATCCTTTATGGGACCTGTGTGGCTGCTGCTGTGTCCCCGTGGGTCAGAACTGTTAAAGACACAAACCTATCCTTGTCACAGAAAGCCATGAAGTAAAAATCATGAAGGTTTATTTGACCTATACAGACATTTGGATACCAGAAATCTCAGTGGAAAGCATCATACACACATAGTAATATCAAGACAAGCAGTTTCTACAAATGGTATTAGGAAACAGAAAGCAGAAAGCTAAAGCAGCAGAGTCTCCTGCATGCCCTGGCTTTATGACCTGGGACTTTTATTCTCCACTTAAATCTCCCAAAACACGTTCTGAGGACCTATTCCATGGTGTGACCTCTGAGGAATGGAGTGAGCCTGGGATCAAAGGTAAAAATTGTTCTCTCTGACAGTAAAACTGCCTCACGAGGTTATGACAGGAATTATATGGGTTACATATTGTAGGAATAATAAACTCATTGCTACAGTATTTGGAGGAAAATCCTGGAGAAGAGAAAGCTTTGAGCAGTTCTGTAAAGGTACCGCTTGGCTCCATCTGGAGGTGAAAGCTGAGATGACAGACACGGTCAGCTTGGATAAGCGATTCTAAGCAGAGCTGAAAGCAGAGCAAGAATCTGCTCCTCTGCCCTGTGTTGAAGATTTGCCCACTCAAGGCAGTCTTTTGCTGCTTCTCTTTATATTAAAAAATAAAGATCATTGAGGATGCGATGATTTCTGTGCATTTGTACCTTTGGGGTGGGAGGAATTTCTAGTCCCGTTCTCCCTTGGTATTCCTGAAAGGTGCTCTTGGAGTCCTGATAGGCTTCTTAGCACTGCGAGAGAGGAGACATAGAGAAACTCCTTACAGAGCCCCGACCTTCTGCTCCTGGCAGCTTGTGTGATCCCTGATCATCCAGGGAATCCCTCAGGGGAACAGGAAGGTTGCAATCACAGTAAGCAAGCAGGGACAAATCCAACAAACCAAAATCCTCCACTGGATTGAAAACTTCAAGATTTCCACATGGGAGCTGTACTCATGCTATGAACAAACTGAAGCCCAGGGCATGAGAAGTATTGAGATTTGACTCAAATGCAGAACATAGAGCTCTCTATCTGAGCTGGGATGGTGGTTTGCATTGGCTCTGAAGGCCCATGACCGCTACCTTTTCCCTTCCCTCTCCAGTAGCATTCCTGCATTGAACTAGATCTGCATCAGAGTGCATGGTAACCAAGCTACCTGGGATCTACAACAAGACAATTTATAGTTGCTTCCTGCTAAGGCATGAACCAAAGAACAGAACTAAACATGTGTGTGCACCTGAGAGCTCTTCTGTGTGCCCCTAAGCAGTGCTTAAAACTTCCGCCCTGAAGAACAAATTTTGATTCTCTTCTCTAACTCCTACTTTGACAAAACCTGCCATGATACCTGCTTTCCCTGCAAGCCAAGGACTCCATTTACCTGCATGTCACTTCTGCACAAGCCCATTTCTCTTCAGTCAGGCATGACAAGAGCTGTAACTGTGCAGGGCGGATTGGCTGCAGCAGCTCCTGTGGGCGCACTCACCCTCCTCCTGACCCCGTGGCAGGAGAGCGCTGCCCCTACAGCCATCACTAACAGATGGCATCTGCACAAGTGAGGAGGCCCTGCTGCTCGTGCTCACTGGGAGAGGGTGGTGGTGACCTGGGACACTGAGGCTCTGTCTCTACCTCAGCTTTAAGAACGAGGCTGGGCACTGCTGTTCTCACTCCCCTGGATGTGCTGAGCACCTGCTGGCATGAGGTTTTTCCTCCAGTATGTGGGCTGCTTTTTTGCTTTTTTCTCTGCTGGGTTTTTGATAACATCTACCTGGACAGACTGCTGGATGGTGAATGCTGATGACTCCCTGGAGGTAAGATTGGGGTGAGGAGAGCCTGATCACCAAAACCAACATGTCCTAGGGAGAGTTTGGTTCCTGGTGTCATTGCTCCACTCTCATATACTTTTTCCCTCTTGTACTGGATGAAAATGGATGAAAATGAAATTAATTACTGTGGCAAGAGCAGGAGAAAAGTGGTATTTTGTTTAGTTCTCTTTGGCAGGCTTTATTATCCAGACTCTGCTCTCATTTAGTAAGTTCAGGAAAGTTCTACAGGCTCTAGTTTTATATGTGCATGAACTTGAGTACAGTTATTCTGTGTCTCCAGCCTGCATGGATATTTTGGAGGTGTTTCTCTTTCCGTAGGTCAGATTTCCTGGTAGAAACATCCACCATGTACAACTGTGCTCTTTGTCTTTTTCTTAACAGCCATTGAGTTACAGGGCTAGCAGAAATTTGAGGGGGCCATGGGGACTCAATATCTTCTTGAACTTGTGCAGACAGTAGCACTCTCATTTTAAAGAAAGGTATTGGCAAAAGTAAATTGCACGTAAGGGAGAAGATTGCTCCTTACATGCAAGGTGTGCCCCAAAGACTCCAGGCCCCAAATCATCACTGTTTCTGCAGCACTCACTACTGCAAATTTGTAATTTTCTTCCCAGCATAGCCATCTATTTGTGCACATTTAAGGGCTGCATATCCACAGTGTGGGAATCTGCTCTCTGGCAAACTGGATACCTTATGCAGTGGAGGTGAAACACCTTCCAAGACAGAAAGTTTGGCTGAATATATCAGGAAGAAACTTTCTTTCTGCTGTTCAGCATAGGAAACCAGAAGAGCTCCTCTGCACTCAGTGATTGCAATGCAGCATTTAGATGCATCACGTGAAGTGGTGAATTATCTGAAGAAAGAAGGATAAAACTGATTATGAGACAAATACTTTTTTTTTCCTCTATGCCACAAGAAATCTTGATAATCTGAGTGTCAGTCCTACCCTGAAAGGTGGTTGTAGATGCTGAGGTGGTGGTCACAGATCCAATGAAGTGCAATTGCTGATGGTCAACATGTCTGCTCAGTGAGCTTTTTCCAGGGAAAATAGTATGCACCCAGTGATGCTGGATGGGATTTCACTTTTCATTTGGGAGCTATTTCAGATTTCTTTCAGGAAGATGTGAATTGTTTGTAGTCAGATGAAGATATCAGTACAATCAGAAAAGCCAAGTGAATCTGATTGTGAGGAAAATCAGAAGAGGAAAACCCGTCTCCTGAGCAAAATGAGTCCAGGAAAGAACCAGTCCATTACCCTGAGGCTGTGTAACCTTGTCTTCTTGGCACAAAGGCACCTGCTGATGGGCTGTCCAAACTGCTCCATTAACACCCAGTTTGGTTATTAGCAGCCACTATTCTCACATTCCTGCTCTGAGTGTGAATACTAAATAATGGAGCAAAATGCCCCCAGCCTTAATACCTGACCACTGATCTTAATGACCCTAATGACTCACTGCCTCTCTAAACAGGGAAATGCAGGTGGACTGTCCATGGCCAGAAAGGTCGTGGGGTCCACAATGGCTCTTCTTTTCTGCTGGAAAAAGGGTCAGTCAGGCAACTTTGACTCCAGGAGAAGGGAACTCCGTCCTGCAGCAGGTGTAGCTACTGGTTCTTGTCTGGTTGCTTGGTTTTGACCCTGGCCCCCAGCAAATGGGGAGGATGAAGCCCTCACTGTGGTCCCACTGGAGAGGAGCAGCCCAGGAGGAAGAGGCCAGGGAGCACCAGGAGCAGCCACTTCCAGAGGGGCTTCAGGGGCCCTGGCCAGAGCTCAGCTCTCACAGCCTCTCACCTCCCCTTCAGAAACAACAGGTTATGGCCACACAGAAAGTGATTTAAGCTTATGACTCCTTGTGAAGTATCAAGACAAGGCTGGGTTAATTTTTGCAGCAGTTTGTACTGGAAAAAGCCCATAATCTGCTTCCCAAGGAGCACTCCCTGTTGCAGGTGGATTATAAATATTACCACTACTGTTAAACACTGCCTGTTTTACTCTCGAGCTGGGCTTGTAATCATCATATGTTGGCACCTTTTAACAGTGTGGTAAAACACTGTGACTAACACCATTCGCATGTTTGTCTTCTCCACTTTCCCCAGAAGGAGAAGTGTGTGCTTGTTCTGGCCTTTTTTTAATTTGTATGAGAATTATTTTAATATTAATTATACATTATGAATAGGATGTAATTATATATATTACAGTCATTATGCAGTTCATGTTTTACATGCATACTTGCATTAGGGAAAGCAGGTTGTGGCAACGTGTGTCGTAATCAAAGTGGGAGATGAGGAGTGTGGCAGAGATGCTTAACTGCTCGGGGAGTCCTTGGCTGGGCCCAAGAAAGCTGGGACACATTTGCTATGGGGGGAGAGAGTTGATGGGGAATTAGTGCTACCAGCACGGTGCACGTGGGATGGAGAAATCCATAACCCCGCATGATGCCCCAGCCATCCCCGATCCCCCTCCCCTTTCAAGCAGCGAGTTCCCATGTGCCTGAAGATTTGTGCTGTCAGCACAAGGGCAGATGCCCAAGGGTGGTTTGGGGGCAGGTTAAAGACCAGGAGGACCAACAACCAGGTGCACAAAACAGAAGGGAGAAAGAGTTGGTCAAGGAGGTTACAAGGCAGACAACAGAAAGCAGAATAGCTAAGCGGTGGCTCAGGGTAGCCACTCCAATATCTGTTCCCAACCCTCCTGCACCAGGCAATGAGACATTTATCCCTGGATGTGCACAGGCTGCATGGAGATGGGCTGATCCCTGCTTTGACTATGATCAGCACTAGTAGGAGTAGATGACAACTGAAACATCCCAAGAAATGCAAAACATTTATCAAGTTTTTGTTAGTCTGGGAAGGGAGTTATTTCACAAGCTAGACCATGATCATAATTGTTGCGCCTTAAGACCTCTGTTTTGCTTGGAGGCTGACAAAGCCTGGAATCCTGTTAGTCTCTTCATAAATAATTTAGAGGAAGATGCTGCTTGTAAGATTTAAAAAACAATACTAATGCGAGCAAGTAAGGAAGTAACTGACATTATTAGCTGAATACAGAGTAGTATGAATAAGCCTGTGGTGGTTTGGGAGGAACATGAAATGATACAAATGTAAGTGGAACAAAATGTAGTTTAATAAAAATAAGCAAATTTCAAGCACAGCCTGAACAGTGGTGAGTTAAGAAAGGAGGGGAGCTGCAGCTGCATTAAGAGGGCCACAGTAAAAACACATCTAATGCGCACATGGCAAATTGTTTTATGTGACACTGTTCTCTTGAAAAACACAGAAACAATGAAATCAGTTTGTTTTACCACTGATTCTCATTTTTTATGAGATTGTTCATTAAATATGCCCTGAAATTCTCAGAAATTTTAAGTGCTTTTTATCTTCATGAAACAAAACGTGTAGATTGTTTTCATTCAGATATAAATCGTATCTCTTTTGCCAGTCTGAAGTAGTGAGTAATTTTTACTTGCCTTTGATCCACAGGGCAGTGTCACAGAGGAGCTGCACTGTTTGGCTCAGACATTGTATTGTGGACAAAATATTGTGGCTGGCTACAGACTTCAATACATCCTGAATAAGACTTTATTAGGTGGTTGAGATATGTTATTATCTGCTTTGTGATTTACACAGTGCAAGAAAAATTAATCTTGCATCATCTAAGCAAGCCTGGTCCCCTTTGCCTGAATGAAACTCATTTGATGGAAGAGTTTCTCCTTCCATTAACTGCAGTGGGTGTCACTGGCAGCAGTGGGCAGGCTGGAGTCCAAAGCTGCACCAACACTAGCTCTACTCCTTGTATGAGCCATTCCAGGAATGTTTTAGTTGTGCTTGTTGCCATATTTGCATTGGTAATGAAAATACCTCCCATATTAAAGTGATTTATGGAAGGCTGGGCTTGGAATGGTATCTACGGCTTCAGGACAGTGGAGACGATTAGCCATGATACTACTACAGTGTGTGCCCCAGTCTGGATGTTTCAGCAATGACTGTGGCTTGGGCACGCATGGTCCCATAGTTGGCAGCACACCTGGAGCCCCAGGGCCAGGATCAGCGCTGGCTGCCTCTCATTTTCCAGCCAGTGTTTGTGGCTGAGTCATTTAGAGGCAGCACTGCACAGGTGTCTGCAGAGGGGCTCACACCTACACCTCTACTTTGCACGTCTCTCTTACTCTCTGAGCTGCTCCTTCTTGTCAGGAGGATGGTGTAAGTGGAGCATGGACAGCAAAGTCTCAGGTCATCTGGTCCATAGCCCTGCCCAGCTCAGCCTAGACAAGCATTTGGCAAGGAGAGATCAAGCCTGCTCTCAGGTCTCCCTGGTCAGCCGCCCCTCAGCTCTTCCCAGAAATTTTCTTCAGAATTTTTATTCTTAACAATAGGTAGGCTTTGGTTTTTTTTCCCTAATGTCTAGTCTGAATTTCTTTTCCTCTAATGTAAAAATATTATCAGGTACACAGAAAATATTGTAACATTGTCCTTGTCCTCCATCCTGCTGCTTTCTCTCTTTTTCAAGCTAAACACTCTGGTTTGCCATCGATGTAACCTCCAGGATTTCTGTTGAAGGGCTAAGCTGACCATCTGCTATGTTGGTGGATGTTTAAACTTTATCTTCTCAATCCACAGGTGAGTACAAAATGCCGTGGCCTGTGGTGGGAATGTGTCACGAATGTTTTTGATGGGATCCAAACTTGCGATGAGTACGACTCCATCTATGCCGAGCACCCTGGTATGTAAGAGTCATAGATGTTTCTACAAGTAGTAGGGACACCTGAGTGTAGACTAAAAGAGTATCTGTTCTATGCAGTGGCAGATAATTAGAGGCACGTTTCTTTTCTCAGTGAGGTATTACTCCCAGGGGAAGCTGGAGAAAACTTCACCCCAGAAAAAAATGTCATAGGATCTGACCCCATTACCCCTTACATTTCCATTCCTTGTGAACTAGAACGCTCTGCTTTTGTCCTGCAGTGAAGCTGGTGCTGACCCGAGCCATGATGATCACAGCAGATATCCTGGCAGGATTTGGATTTCTCTTCCTTGTGCTGGGATTGGACTGCGTGAAATTCCTTCCCGATGAGCCGCTCATCAAGCTGCGCATCTGCCTGGTGTCTGGAGTTATGTTGCTCCTTGCAGGTATTCCCTGCTGAGCCCCCATTCTTCAGGAAACCCTTTAGCAATGTGGGAAAGCACTAAAGTCTTCTCTTATTTTAGGGAGAGAGGCTGGGGATTTTCTGTATGGTAAACACAGGGGAAGAATCTTTATTTGATTTATTTGTGCAATATAACTTCCTCTGTTCACCACCTGCCCCTAACAGCACGTAGTTGAGTTTATCTGCTTTCAGTTCATGTATTGACCAGGTGACTTGGCTCTGAGTTGACTGACTTCCATTTACTGTGAAGCAGTCAGCCTTGTTGATAAAGCAAAGAGACCTAATTGCTGAAGGACTAGAAACTTCTGGCATCCTGGTTCTGTTCCTGGCTCTGCCACAGATTGTGTGACCTTGGGCAAGTCACTTAGCCTGAAATCTCTGCAGCTGATCTCTAATAAAAGGATAATAACGTGTCTGTCTTTCCTAGGTGATAAATACCCAACTGGCTGAGATGCTTTGCTGTTACAGCTAGTGGGAGAATTTTAAATACAAAATTAAATATCTGACTAGGTACCAAATAATTTCATTTGACTTCATGCCAATATTGAGCAGCTACCTCTGTTCAGTGTGAGCAGATTTAATACATAACTCACCCAGGCTACTGGGAGTGCATGTAAAACACTTGGAGAGGTTCTTTTAAACATCTTCCATTCAATTCTCAAAGTTTGTGGGACAAACAGCATCAAAGTTCTGAAAATCAAAACAGATTAGAAAATTAAATTCTGGAAGCAACTTTACAACAAGTTGGTAAACAAACTGAGAGGGGAGGAGCTTTCTGCCTTTTACTGCGGAAAGCTGAGTGCTGCCAGCCGATGCTGGTGGTGTGTGCAGTGCCAAGCTGTGGGGTGCAGCTTCTGCCTGACAGCGCTGCGGCTGATATCAGCAGGAGCCAGGGGGAATCCGCCAAAGGCTGAGGCTGAACGGGGGCCAGAACCTGCCATCCATGGAAGGTCTTTCCATCCTGAAGTCTGACCCTGCAGACAATAGTTATGGCTTCAGATTTTGTTTGGGATCTTCCTGTGGTCCACCTGAGAGCTGTGTGGCACCTTGCTCCTGTCCTGCAGGTCTCCCAGGCATCACGGGCTCAGTGTGGTACGCAGTTGATGTCTACGTGGAGCGCTCCTCTCTGGTCTTCCACAACGTGTTTCTGGGCATTCAGTACAAGTTTGGCTGGTCGTGCTGGCTCGGCATGGCGGGGTCACTCGGCTGTTTCTTATCTGGGTCCCTGCTCACCTGCTGCATGTATCTCTTCAGAGGTGAGGAACCATGGCAGGGCTGAAGCACAGTTCAGAGAAAGAGCCATTGCTTGGGGTGTGCTACAGGTGCACAGGGTGGGGAAAGTCCTTCAGGGACATCCTTTGGGGTGGTTGTTCATCCCCAGTAGCAATATTTTTGGCTGTAAAATGAGAATAGTCTTAGGCATCTCTAGAAAGCAAACTGAGGTCTTCAGGTGGGACCTGAGGTGTAAGTATGACATAAAATGTGTTGTTATTGTGTCACATCTTGGAGTGCTACTTCCTCTGCATTATGAAGCTTTGCAGCTGAAAGTCACCAAGCACACATGAGCAGTTCCCATTTCTCTCCCTGTGCCTCACAGAGACCAGTTCTGGAAGATTCCATCCTGCTTACTCCTTGAGGAAAGGCTATTCCTCAGCTGCGACCATCGTAACAAATGTGCATTTGCCATCCTCACAAACAGCCACTGCCAAAATGTATGCAGTGGACACAAGAGTGTGAGGAGCAGGTAGGTGCTCCAGAAAGCATTCTGCTTTTATTTGTAGTGGATTGCACAGAGCGCCAAGCTCTTGTGGTTGTGATACGGGTGTAGTTACATTTCAAGGATCTACTGTATGCTACAATGTTTGCATTATGAGAGCTTCAAAAAAGCCTTCCTTCAAGAAAGTAGTCTCTGAGAAGATCTTGCTTTAGGGAATCCTGTTTTCTTGAGTGCTGAGGCTGCTTGCATGGACTGAAATAACCAACACAAACTCTTTCAGCATTTGTCTCAACACTATTGGTACAAGGAGATAAATCAGCTGTTCCCGAGTCAGACCACAGTGTTCTGCATGAAGAGCCCCAGACTGGGAGATGGATCTCTTTCATGTCTGGAAACATATCAACAGAATGTACAAAGCAGAAAATACTGTCAAAAAGAGGGACTGACTGTCTGACCAACATCTGGACCCTGTGTACCCAGCATGGGGGTCTGCTTCTCTTACAGGCAGCTGGAGAGTTCTTCAGAAGATAAGAGTTGTATTAAGCATCTGACCCTTTCTTTGGTCCATGAACTGCTGCACTGAGAAAACACTGCAAATCCAGGTGCATTCTTCCCTGCAGGATAGAATCCTTCTCAGTCAGTGTTAAAATGTACATTACAGATGCTCTAAACTCACCGAGATCTGGAAATTGCCGGCTTCATCCTGCTTAGTAAAGACATCGCTTGGACAAAGAGAGTGAAGATCCAAAATCTGACCTTGTGCATGACAATATGTCTATATTAGCTAGAAACTAGGATAAATGATAGTAAAATCTGTTGTCCCTTTCTATCAAAAGATATTTAAATCCAGTTCAGGACCTACTGCAATCCATACTGCCATAGGCTGGATGAGGCTGGAGCATCAGCCAGGTCTTCATTAGGGTGGGTGACAAAAACCCATTATAGTTTTACAGGTTCCCTAAGAATGAATGTGAAAATTCTTCCATGCCTTCAACAGAAAGAGAAGCTTAGACAGGGCTTTCTTAGAGTTGTTAGGAACTGTTCAAATTCAGTCCTTTCTACTGTGGGCACCATATCATAAGGTCACAGGCACTGGAGGTTGAGAAAAGGCTCTCAGCACAGAGGTGTGTCTGCTCAGGGGTAGTGAAGAAACAACAGTGGAGTCTCAGCAGGGTACACACAGCCATGAGTACTCAGGCACCACCAGAGGTAGGCTTCCTCCACGGACTACTTGGTGGTGAGACTGGATTTTCTTCTCCCAGAGAATATGAAGTAAAACCTTATGTTATGTGGGCCAGAGGGGGATGGGATGGCTGAGGATGGAGTGGGCTATGTCTCAGATATCACCTCTGATAGCCCCTACGATGGAAAATGAAGGGGTGAGTCCTCTGATGGATTATCCTGGAAGCAGCATCTTGTGCTGCAGCACAGAACTGATCAGCATCGTTAAAACATAACCCGGTCCTGACACAACTCCTAGTCAAGAAGTACTCAGGCTCTGGAACAGGCAGGACAACAGCAGGTCTGTATGGCTCTGCTGCAGGCTCAAGCAGCTCCACAGGGCCCAGACCATAATGCAGCCATCTCAGCAAGAGCCCTTGTGGCAGCGCTGCTGCCCAGGAGAGGGAGGTTTGTGCCTACAGAGTTCATGCTGCTTGGGTTGGCAGTTGTTTGTGTTAGTCCAACTGAAAGCAGGTTGTTGCCAAAAGATGAGCTGTATTGAACAGATGTAAACACAGTAGGGGAAGCGATGGAGGCTTTTTTACAAGGTTCTGAGAGACAAGGAATACATGAGTTATGAGTGATGTGATGAATTCATGGATCTCACCAAGAATGCACAAAGAGATCGGAGGTGACAGGAATTTCTGCCTGTTAACTGCATCCAGAGCTTGGTTGTTCTTTTTTTTTTTTTTTAAAGTTTTTCACAGTCACATCAGAAGTGTGTTTGCTGTGGGGTTTTGGGGCAGGAGAGCTGACGCTGCTGATATGCTCTGCTGGGGCAAGGAAGCTCTGGGAACACTTTTGAGTCTGGTTCCTGAGTTGTGCCCCTGCTCCCCTGCTCCTTCAGGGACACACTGGAAATGAGATGGAGGGTGAACACACCCTAAAGGCAGAGCTGTGCTCAGTGACTGCTCCACTGCCCACATCCCCTCTCCTGCCCAGAGAGGCAAATGCTCCCTCAACCTCCCTGAGGGAGGAGAGATGCCGCAGTGCCACAGGCAGCCTCAGCTCAACTCACGCAGCACACACATGCTCCTGGGTAGGACCTGCTGAGCAAAGACTTCATCAGTTGGACCAAAATTCTGAATCAAAACCTCCCCAGCCTATACAGCCAGCACGTTGTTCCTCCCCACAAACACTCGGGGACACCCTCCAGCCTCTTGTTGCTGTTTTCAATAGCTTTTTCTGAGCATGAAGATTATTTCTTGCTGCAAAGACTTATTCCTTGTTTAGCAAAGGATAAATGCAGATGTAATTGCAGATCCCAGACCATTGATTTCTCCTGTTCAGTAGTTGAGGAGAATTTTGGGCCTTCATCCTAGTGGTCTTCAGCTTGATTTAAGGTAGTGGGAGCTATTTTGTGATTTGCAACGTGTGGGACACACCAAGCAGTGACTCAGTGGGCACTTTGGGATCTAATGCCTATGCCTTGATCAGGGGTGAATATAAAGGACTTGTCTCATTAGTCCCTGCAGCCCTGTGCTCCTTCTGGGGGTACACAAATAGAGCACATGCATACCCCAAATACTATCTTAACTCAGGGTCTATCCTCCTCAAATACACTTTGCATACAAAGAATATACATACAAATATTCTTGCATAAAAGAATATTGCATAAACACTTGTGAACCTCTCTTCTTCAGTATCTGTGTAGAATAAGAGTTAATTTTTTAACCATACTTCTATTCTAGCCAAACTCTATGATAGGTTTTGAGAATCCATCACCTGCACAAGAGGACTAGGAAGAGGTCACAGCAACCCTTAGGTTTGCCAGGTTAATGTTTTGTAACAACTGGTCCAGTGCTGCACTGCTTCATTATTCAAATTCCACTGACAATCTATCTGATGTTTTGATCAGGTGTTGTTATTTAATTGTTAATCCCTATTTGATTTAATGCTGACACTGGTTTCATGACTGCAGGATTCACTCCTCATTTGCTAATTACCATGTCACAGTGCAGATCCATTTTAGTTTAGTTGTTTATTCATTACAAGAAACCTCCCAGAAAGAATACAGGACTTATTTTCTCTTTCAAAATCACAACCAGTCCCTAAGGCTAAAGACATATCAGATGAGCTCAGTTATTAAGGTATTTCCTTAATATCTACTTACATTTCATTCAAGCAGTAGCTGACTAGGAATAACAATAGACTGATTTTACCTTCCTGATCACCATTGATGACTTACCAAGGCTTTTTTTTCTCAATTGTTACTTTCAGCTGAGGCCCAACATTTAATCCTTCAGTTCCAACAGCTTTTTAGGTTTCTCCAGATTTTAACTAACTTCCAAGGAGTATTTTTATGTGTTTGGGCACCTCAGTCTTCATTTCCCAGGGCATAGGGAAACTCAGGGACTTAGCTGAGAGCTGGAACTCGCATCTTTCCTCCCTGCTGTACCTGCCCCATGGTGTCTCCTTGAACTGGGGCTTCCTGTTGTCCTCTTCATTGACAGCACACAGATTGGTGCAGTGTGCCAGGGATCCAGCTGATTGCAGGTTATGAAAAATGGTGAAATGTTGTAGGTAAGCTTTTCATTGATTTCATGCCTTACAGATAGGTATTGATTTCCCATTTTGATACAGGCAAGTGAGATAGGTAATAAAACAATGACATCTGCAATGGCTGTCCTTTTCTGCATGCAACATTACATCCTCTCACTGCCTTGATCAACCTTGTTCATAAAGACTTTTAATTACCCTAGCAGTAATTAGGGCTCACTCTTATTGTGACCTTGTGAACTAGGCTGTCTCCTACTGCAGCTGCATGAATGTTTCCCAAGATAAAAATTTCCTGCCCTTCACAAACATTGTTATGTGATTTTGGTGTGGATTCAGTAGATTTGAACAATTATTTTCAGTAGACAGGAACGTTACTTCAGAATTCTGCTTTTCTTACATATTGTAACACCAGTGAGATATAATAAAGGTTGTTGCCTTTGAGTGTCTTGTCTTTCTAACCCACATCCAAGTTTTGCCCAGAAAGGTGTTTTGCCAAGTGACCTGCTTTGACTTCTGTGAGGAAAATCAGCAGTCTCCTGCAAGGACACACAAAAGGCAGCAGCACAAACAGGACCAGCTCTTGGGTAAGGGGGAGTGATTTTGGAGGCTGTCCAGACCTTTGCTGGTAGGTACAGACCTTGGACGCCAGTGCACACCTATAGTGATTCAAAGAAACCTTTGAACAATCTGAAAAGCACTTTTATTACGGCCGGGGAATGTGAAAGGGGCAGATGTTCTTCCCAGTGCACTCCCCTGAGCAAATGAATACCGTAGCTTTTTATACAGTTTGAAAGTAGCAAGTTTAAAATTATCTATACACACGCTCTTTTTGCAGTCTGCCTTATCTAAATAGACACTTAGTTTTACCTCCTATTCCTACCATTACAGGGTAGTTACATAAAGTTTTATCATTTCAGACAGTTCCAGGTTCCCCACCCCTCTCTACATGCTAAAAAGCCTTCCCGGTTCCCTAAGCTATTTTTATCTTAATTGCCCACAGTTTGGGCAGAAACTTTTAAGCAGTTTTACATTTTGCAAAGTCACACTTACATAGCTAAATTAACATAGCTAAATTTTATTTCATTTTCATTTCTATTTCAATAGCAACGGCTCTTTGCAGCCATTGACTTTATTCCAGCTCAGATACATATACTTAAAGTAATTTTGTAAAGTGTTCACGAGAGAAAAGTAAAATTCCACCAAGAAAGTGAGGTTTTCTCGCTCAGCTGGGGCTGGACTCCCACAGTTTGCCCTTCTGCATCTGTTAAATATTGTGGGCAGGTGATTAATGACTGAAATACTCTGTTCAACCGCTGTTATAGGGAGCAGAGAACAATTTTCTTCCAGTAGCTTCTGGGTCCCTACTGTAAGATGCCTTTGAGCGAGGAAGAAATAAACCAGAATTGTGCCATCTAGTGACCTGAAGAGGGCGGGCATCTGTCCCCGGCCCCATCCTAATCCTCCCTGCGCTTAAGTCTTTAACCCATAATGCAGAATGTTTAGATGACAATAAAAACCCCCGTAGATTAATGAGCATAACAATTATTTTCCCATCTTTCATGTCCAATCCTCCTGGCATTCCAGACTGATGCACTGTTAGGGCTCAGCTGGCTTTGGTTTTGCTCTATTTTGCCTGAGAGCCAGTTTATGACTTTATTATTCAGCTCTTAATGTGTAGAGGTGAAAGTCCAGCCATGTGCCTCACCATGTTCCCTTTGTCTTTTGCTTCCAGATGGTCACCAAGCAATTAGTGCCTCTGTACTGCTCCCATTTCCCCCTCACAAGGCTTGGTGACAACAAGCTCCTCCACAAATACATCTGCCTTCTACTGTTTTCTGCTTTTTTCTAAAGCCTTTTGCCATTTCTTCTTGAAGCCAGCAGGAAGTATAAGTCAGAGGGTGAGTGGCAGCCAGAGAGTTGCAGCAGAACAAGTGCTTTTCCAAAGTGGACTCTATTCTTCCTCACAATTCTGGAAACATCAGCCAAACTGCATTAACTGCCCTCATTAAAGTCTGAGTGCTTATAAAACATAAATTACCAGGCAAAATCTCTGCTTTTGTAAGAATGGGAACACAGGTCTGGAGAAACCTTGTCCATTCTGCTGGAGCATTTGTGGGTAAAGGGGCAAGCTGGGGGAAGCAGCTTTCATAGGCAGCAGTAGGTCAGTGGGGCCACCCCAAATACATTTGTAGAAGGAAGGAGCCAATCCTCTTCTCCATTTCAGTGATCAAGCCAAGGACCAGGGCACTGTCCACTTACCCTTCTCTTGGGGCGGTCTCCTTTCCCACCCCAAGCCAGCAGCAAGGTCAGTTTGTGTTCCCCCACAGCAACCCTACACTTTTTTGCAGATGCCTCCTGGCCTTCAGCAGTTTTTGGAAGCTCCCGTGGCTTCCTGTCATGTTGCACAGGTACCACAGCACACAGGTTCTCCCATGCTGGGAACTCCAGATGGAGCCTGATTTTGTGACAGCCACTAGCTCACTTTACTACAAGCCACTTGTCACAATTTTGATGGGATAATTTGATTCCTTTTGTGAATAATTAAAGCACCGCAAACATGAAGCTGAATGCACTTGAATGCACACCAGCAGCAGGGAAACAAACCTGTTTCCACAAATGTTTCTGTGTGCTGAAAGCCTCGCTTGCCCTCTGTTGGGTGGCTGGGGAAGAATTTATGGCCTCGGGAATGACTGGTCCTGGCGAAGGAGGGATGCAGAGAGATGGAGGCATTGAAACCAGAGCAGTCCTTGCTTGTTAGCCTCTCCAGCCACCTGATTAGAAGGTGACATTCAATGAAATTAAAGGCAGCAATGTATTTAGAGCCAAGCAATGAATAAGCAGGAGGTGGTAATGTTTTATGCAGCACACAATGCAGACAACCTGTGGAGTTCACTGCCACGAAGGGGTCACTGAAGCAAGCGCAGTGTGTAGGTGGGAAGCAAGTGATGGCTGATTTAATGCCCACTAACAGGCTATGCAAGCTGAAGTGACAAACATAATCAAATCTCATGCTTCAGGGCATAAATTGAAGGGGTTGAGTAGTGGAAGTAGTTATGTATATAAAAGGTCTGATCCTGAGAGGTGCTGATTACCTACAATTCATAGTAGTTCAGCCAGGAAAAGGACACTCAGGATTTGCTTGACTTCTCCCCTGGCTGAGTCTGTGTTTACTAATTTTCCTTATTAATAAACGTGGTAATATTTTAGCCTACTGGCACAAACATTCATTTGGCTACAGCAACATTTATTTCCTTTCACACAAGAGTCAAACATTAAAGCTGCTTCTAAAATAAGATTTTAGAGAGATAATTTGCAGTGGTGCTGGCAAGGAATTTTCTCTCAAAATATGCTGTAATTCTTTATCTGGCAAATGTTCTTATATAGAATCAATATGAGAATATGTAAGCACTTCAAAACCCTTAGTGGATTTATATTCCCAGTTTTCTTTCTGAGCACGGGAAGTGGTACTAACCTTGCTCTACAGGTAGGGAGCTGCTCCATGAGCCAGGTTGTGGGCTTCCATTAATCTTTTGGGGTTCTAATCCATGATGGACCCAGCTGCCCAATTTGACCATGAGCTCATGGCTCCATGGACATGCAGTGCATGGTGTGACATCTACCTTTTGCAACAAGAGAGGTCTGACTGCAGCCCCTCAGCCTTTGCCACTGAGAGACCAGAGGCAGAGAGGTCAGGTAGGCTGAATTCAGCCTTCAGTGACCTGCCCATGACAAACAAAAGGAAATCTTTGCTTTCATCTGGAATATGGCTAAGGGGGAAATTCGGCATCTTTCCTCAGTAATTTGAGAACTAGTTAGGCTAACACCTCCTAGGAATGACTTATGTAGCACTGATCCTGCTTGGGCATTAGGCAGTCTGGATGACTTAAAGTATTTTTCCATTCTGTCTGCAGTGATCACCTCAAAGAAAATGACATCCTTTATCCTAATATATTTCTGTAGCTAAGTATTAAATACCTAAGCCCCTAATTCATGTCTTTGGGGAAATTCCACGAGTGTCCTGGGCCATTCAAAGCCTGCTGGTCTGCAGTGCTAGGGTAAGAGTAGCTGAGGACAGTCACAATGGAATTAAGAAAGGCTCAGATGAGCAAATTCACTTTTTTTCTGTGCTTTGTAACCAGCTCCTGCCACTGCTGCTACTCATAATCCCTGCTTCTTGTTTTCTCTTCCCTGACCATAAATTTGCCTTTTGCATTAGACAAATCTGATATGCTGTGCTAAATATTTTAAATGTGGCAAACAATCCTTCATCATAGAGTGGCATGATTGCATTACAATGTATTAGAACAACATGACTTTGCCAGAGGGTGTTTCTTGGCACCACACCGAGTGAAGGAGGCAGCCCAAGTTTGAGAAGTAACTAGCAAGTCATTTATCAACATTCGGTCCTAAAACACATGGGGCTACACCAGCTCTAGCAGCCTTAGAGAGATAAATCTGGAGGCTGAGACAGAAACTCCAAATACAGATAGGCTTTGAGGAAGCTTCTTAAAATCCAGAGCCATCAAAATGTCAAGCTGAGCTCCTGTGACAGATTCAACACATGCTTTTGGCATTTGTTCTGTTGTATTTAGTCTCCTCTTTTAGGTTCAGATGAAATATGTGCTGCTTTTCAGTCTTTTGGCCAGCTTGTGGTAAGGGCTGATTTGCTCTCACACTCCCGTAGCGTGATGGAAGACCTTTGAAGAGTCAAGTGGAATCACTGGAAGCCAACATGTGGTGTCTAGAGCTTATTTTGCTCCATAACATCCTCATAGGATGGAGGCAACTCAGTTCCCCCAAGGCTGAACTGTGGGGCAGAAGAGCAGGACATCTCTGCAGTCATGCAGGGGCTCAGAGATCCAGAGAATGGGCACTGAGATGCTTCACTCGCTGGGGAAAAAGCAAAGTCACAACCATGCAGGAGACAGGCACGAAGAGTAAGTGTGGGGGTGAGAGAGGTGAGCCCGGGAGGAGCTGCCAAACCACTTGGAAACAAGAAAGGCATGGATGTAATTTTTGAAGCATGGCATCACAAAGCCTTTCACCACAAACTCCAGATACAAGAAGTCAGGACAGAGGCATATGGGTGGGTTTGGGGTGGGTCTTCCCTGTGAAGACACTGCCCATGACCACCCAGAAAGCAGGTAATACATTCAATACATTCTCTGGGAAGAGCTTAGGCTAATGACAGGGCTAGATTAATTTTTCTTGGAGGAATGTTGTCTGGCCTAGCCTGATGGTGCTGCTGACCATATTCCAGGTCAGTTATAGGTGTTACACATAGTTATTATAGCCCAGTCCTTGGAAGGCTGGGTGCTCCTGGGGGAATGCTTAGGGTGGCTACCAAAACAAAACCCAGCAAGACAAACTTTTGACGGATCTCAGGGTGTATCAACCAGTTAAGCTGCCTACTGGGGTGGCTCAAGTTAGGCCAGTGAAGTCTTGCCTGAGTGAGAAATGCAGGACACATGCTGGAAAGGGCTGCTTGACCCCAGTGCCTGTGTCTGCATATTGGGCCACTGAGCGCCCAGCACTGAGGAGAAAGTTCCACACACCTCCAATGTGAGCCTGGCCAAGCACCTTTGGGACATAATGGACACACAGAGATGGCACCAAGTTCAACTGAATGTACGACTGGGGAAAAGTGGATGTGGCTTCAGCCCTCCAGTCCATGGTCTGAACACACCCCCAGGATGCCTGAACCGGGCACCTCACTGTTCACCAGAAACACAGCCCAGCTCCCACTCAAGCCTGGCTACCTCTTTCTGGGTTATGGATGGTCCACAGGAAGCCCACTATGGCTGGCAGGACCTTGCAGCAGGCAGAGACAGGACTAACCACAAAAGGTGTCTGAGCTGCTGAGGGCGAAGACAGCCACGGTGCGTTGGCGGGACAGGCAGCTCCACTGTTTCAGCCAGCACTGCAGGCAGCAGCAGATCCCACAGGACAGGAGCAAGGCCAGGAAAAACAACATCAGGAACCTAAGGCAGAGGCAGCAGGGGAGGAACAGTGCCATTACCATCTGCAGACAGCACTGACAGATGGCTGCATGTCTTCAAATTAACATATTCATTAACATCTTTTGCAAATAGCCATTAAATGTTGCTGTTTCCCCACCAGCATACTGGACATGATCAAAGTCTCCAGAAACCAATGTCTCAGGCCTGAGTGCTCAGCGACAAGTGCTGGCTGGAAATTCAAATATTTCTCCCTGAAATCATCCATCGTTTTTTCCCAGCTCAGTTGTCAGCGTACAGTGAGGAGGATATGGATAAATGATTCCCATTAGTTTGTAAAGACAGAACACAGGGACAGCCCAGGAGCAATGCTCTCTAGCTATCAGTCTCTCTCAATGCCTTTCTCTCTGTATATCCATCAAAGAATATTATTTGTCAGTTTTTTTCCTCTAAAGTAGATCTGAAACTTACCACATATACCAGCTGCTAAAATTTTCATCGTTCTGTCCAGTGCACCTAAAAAGGGAAAGATAAAAGGGACTTTCAGTCCAGTGTGAGGGGACTGTACCCACTCCAACACGTCTACCAACACAAAGAAAAGCATCATCAGAAAGTAGAAGACTGAGAGTTTTCCTCCATCAAGGGAGCCCTATTAAAAGTTTCTCTATGTAGATGGGAGCAGATGCAGATGATGTACGAAGCAGAGTGCAACTGGTTTGCCTTTCAACACTGGCACCCGCCACCAGCGTTTTTGCTGAAAACCCAAAGGGTTGCCAGTCTCCATTTCCTCTTTGGGAAAAAACTCTAAATGGCCCTTTCCTGGAAGCGTTCATTCCTCTACTGTGCTGGTGTGCCAGGCAGGAGCACAGCATCCCTGAAAGAGCCCAGGGTGGAGGCAGCCACGAGGGAGAGAATGAAGCCACACTCACCTCTCGCCAAGCTCACAGTCCAACTCAGAGTCTGCTAACTGAAAACACACATGTAAATCACAGAGGGCAGATATGTGTTGGTTTTTTTACAATTTACCAGTACAGTCACTGTTCTTAGAGTGGGAAGTCCGAGAGGAAGAGCCATACAGGTGCTGGTCCTGCAGGGTTGAAAACCAGACCTCTCCCTAGGGACCATAAGGCTGAGCTCTTGCCTCTGTGGATCTCTACTCTGAACCAGCTCATATCAAAACCAGCAGATAACTTCACCAAGAGTTCAATAAATTCAGTAGTTTGCAGATGAAAGCTAGGCCAAGGAGAAAGCATTCCTTTTGATGTGAAAGAGGGAAAGACAAGAGCAGGGAAACACCCACCGGAATCAGAGATCTGTTTGCTGAACTGGGCTTTGCTATTCAGAAATGTCTGCTGAAAATGTCCCACAACCAAATTCTTGCTCTGTGGTTCATTTTCCATCAGCTAATTGTGTGTGAATGCATCCGTAAATAGGAGCTCTTTTGACCAGATATGTGCTGTACCAAGCATTTTCCTCTTTTCAGGTAGTGGTGGTGCATCATTCCCAGAGTCAAGTTTCAGGTATTGCAAATATGTGGATCTGAAACCTGTTTTTCAGGTATATTTTCTACTCTCTGCTTAAGGAAGTTTATTTTTGCAAGCCTTGTTGATCTTAGCCTCAGTTTCAGATCATCTGGGCAAAAAGTAACCAGAGTGGCTCATCAGTATAATTAAATCAAATTCAATAGAGTTTTTGGCTGACTTGTGTTAGGTGTGTTATAATAGTTGCCCAATGTTATTACTAAAAATTCAGATCAGGTATAGAATTGCAATGACACTGGGAAGTAGAATGAACAAGATAGAAGAATTTAGATTTATTTATTTATTGGAAAAAAGTGCTAGAATGTAATTTGTAAATCGTTAGTTTGGATTTCCCTCTGTGTATATCCAAAACATGTAGAGATTTCTGACTTTCTTTGAGTCCAACTAAAATGCTCTGTTCTGAATTATAAATTTGTATCAAATATGTAGAATTGAGAGATCTCATTTTACATTTCTAAGTAACATGACTTCTTTGGAGGCACTTTGTTATGCAAAGCTTGTGCCACTGTAAACAGCAAGAAATCCCTCCCCAAATCTCTATAATGTGTCTGATCCTGTGCACAAACTACCTTTCCATCCCTAGTTTCACCAGAGATCTTGAGGTATAGTAAGTCTTTCATATAAAGTGCTATCTATGAAATTTAATGAGTGGCTGAAATACAAATGAGGAATAGAGAAAAAGACAGAAGCTTCAACTCTTCTAGACATGTCCTTTTAAAACTGAGCTAATTTGCCATGTCACACATGCACCCTGGTGCAGAATATTTTAATTCTTTTTTTTTTTTGCGCTCCAACTGAGTATTAAAATAACAGGTCAAAAGCAAATAGGTGGTTGCTGTGATTACATATACCCTGAGTATTCTTCATGGCTGAATGACATCCTTTGGACTCTCTTTTATCATCCTTCAAACTACCTCAGCAGAGCCACCTTAGCATAGTTAAACTGCAGCAAAGTGCATCTGCTCTGAGGCAGTAATCTGTCAGAGCAGCCAAACACCCACCCGTGCTGCTGAAGCCCCAAGCTCTTCCATTTCAATAGCTGTAGACAGAATAAAGAATTGAGGCAGTCATGTTTTCTCTGCATTAATTGGAACTGTTATGAGCATTAAATCTTCCCCACATTCATCAGGTCCTCAAAAAAAACCTTCACCAAAAAAAAAGTAAAAATGACTGATGACTAAATTCCATAAAAGCTGAAATCTTCCCCCCAGAAAATTCCTAAAATCAGCCGGGTCCCAGTGAAGGGTTTGGTTACCTGGAAGAAGGTTAAATACAGAACTCCAGTTCCTATGATCCATGAAGTGAAACACAAAGCTCCAGGTCTCTGCATTACTAGTGCAAGACACTTTAGAAGAGTTTTGTTTGCAACAGTGTTTTACCCTCTGTAATTTGGTGCTTTTAAAACTTCTCTGCACGTTGTGCCTTCAGCCAGAGAACACGTTACCCAATGGCTTCCTGCGCTTCAGAAATTACTGCTAGCCAGAGAGTTGGGTTTGCATGGACACAAACAACTACTAGAAGTTAAAGGAACACTAGTTTAAGGTCAGCACCTTGCAGTTGTTTCGGTATTTTCATAGCTGTTCACAAATTCCTGCTGCTGAAGCTTAGTTCCATATTAACCCACGGCTGCATTTAACAGGACCTGCTACAAATAAAGAGTCACTGGAGTCCGTACCGTGAGGCCACACTTTCATTTCATGCTACCTTCAGCTGGAGTACTGGCATTACAGAAAAAGGGAAGCTACCTCCAACCATGTTCTATGCACTGTGCCTACCACCTCAAGTGTGCACCAAGGGTGAAGGAAACCCTTCCTAGCCAGAGGCAATCACCACCAGCACCCTAACTCCATTATACAGCTTCTGGAGTTTGGTTTGCTGGGAAAATGCAGCCAAAAAAACCCCACATATACCCAGTGATTCTCAGAAGGGACACAGCATTTCATTGTGCATTGTTCCTTTCATAAGGACTGATTAGATTCCTCTAGATACATCCAGGTGATGTGGTTAAACAGGGGTAGAAGATGGTTTGCACCAGAGCTCTGATCCTCTCAGAACGGACAATCCTGGTTTGTTCAGCAGTCAGTAATAGGTTGTCACAGGAGTTTACAGCCCGTGGCTGAAATGCACCATTAACTACAGTTCTTCCAGATTTAACACAAAGGGTGTTGCCATGAATATGTTTAATCCTCACTCCAGAGTTAAGCATTATGTTGTGATGCCATTACTTCCGTAATGATTGACAAAGCCGAGCTGCTCTTGAGATGTACCTCTGTGGCTTTGCTTCAGCTGAAAGGTCAAGAAGTCTAACCAACTGTGATATACATACTCAACCAAGGTTTGTTATTTAATGTTTGGGTTTTGCATAAACCTAGGCCAAACCCCGGTGTTCTCAAATGTTTACTTTCAGCTCAGAACTAATGAAAGGTGAGCCTCGGAAACTATGCCCTCTGAGAAGGCATCTCTCATGATTTTGCTAAGTGCATGTGCTATGCAATATAAGTGGTCAGAACATGCTGTCTTGCTTCAGACCAATCCTTTTCAGTGTTGTTCAACAGTAAATTGCCAAAACAATTTCTTAGCTGTTTTCTTAAAAGAAAAAGCTCCTGCAGTATAAAAATGTGCACAGCCTTGCTGGAAACTGTGTGACTCTTACAATTTCAGGCTTCAAAGAGATCATCCATCATTGAACTAATTTCAGATTTCTTCCTCTCACAATTACTTCCCTAGCATCATCACCCAGGGTACTTCCAATTTAGAGCCACCAAATGGATCACCCCCAGTATTTCGGGGGGCAGGTACATCAATGAGCTCCTGGTACTGAAAAATATCATATAGCATCTGTTCTGGGTCTATATCTAGAAAAAAAAAGGAAAGGATTGAATTCTGCCACTGCTCAGCTTCCTGGCTTTGAGGCAAACTTTGATTTTTTCTGCTGGTTAGTCCCATACAGAGGTTTCAATTTATGATGGCAATTTGTGAAGCCTGTCCCTACATTTTCTGTAATGATGCCAAGAGGCAAGAGTTGGCTTAAAGGGGGTCCATGAATAGCCCTGTCTTTTGCTTCAGGCGTGATCCTGAAATTGAAAAGAGCTGCTGCTTCAGCAGGAAAACTCTCCCTGTCCATGATCAGCTGAGCAGCTTGAATACATGAATATATAACACAAAGAGCCCTAGCACTTGCTCTAAGGCAGTCAGGACCAGACACCAAAAACCCAGAGGAGCTCTGCACAGGGGGGCTGTGACCCCTCCTGCTGTGGCTCCACTACCTTTGGGATTTTGCAAAACTGAGAGACCCACCTTCTGGGCAGCTCTGTGTCCAAGGGCTAGCTCCAATATGAGAAATTCTTTTCTAGGCTTTTTTTCCTGCCCCCCATGAGGAGATATACGCACATATACACAAAGGTAGCGCCTGTTCCCTCCTCCTCTACCTACTGGATGAAAAGTTTGGTAACTTTTCCCTCCTCATTTATATCCACATCATCTATGGAGCTGGGAGGCTGCTCCCTGATAGATTTTAACTCGTGGCCATTAGATTAACATTCTGTTATTTCCTCATCACCTTATGTCGTTGCTAGGTGACAAATGCATCTCCCAGGCAGCAACAGGGACTACTGCAACATAGAGCAATTTATGACTGTCCATTATCTCTTTGCTTAATGTGCCCAGTCCTTTCAATGGGAGGAAGATGTGCAGTTCTAGGATCATCCAAAGGGTGACTTTTAGAGTTATCACAGAAACCACCTCCACTGGGGGGCTGGCTCTTGCTAGGCTTCACAAAATCGGATGAGAACTTGTGACACGGGAGGAATTTGGAGAAGCTGATTTACCTTGTCAAGTCTGCCAGGGTCAAGGTGGGATTCAGGGTCTGAATTTCAGGAACTGAGCTCCAACTTGTATTTATGTGCATTAGAAGTGATGGTCTTTAATTGCTTGAGTGTCATACAATTAATTTCAGACATGCTTTTAGATTGAGACAAAGTTTCAGGGAACCTCTGGATTTTGGTGAGAGTGGGAGGCAATTTACTGGCAAACAGGAGTCCACACAGAGCCCCTGGCAGCCTGTAAGCACAGCTAGCAGTTTAAACCTGTTTTAAGTTCTTCCCTAGCTGCCTTCAGAGCATTTGGTGGCTGCTAGGGACAACTTTCGGGGAAAGCAACCACCTTGCTAAGCCCTGACCAGCCTCCCAGTACAGTCCAGAATGAGACTGTGAAAGGCTTTTTCCAAAGGCAAACAAGGAGAGTGGTAGGAGGAGAGGTGGGACATACACAGGGAAGGACATGGAACAGAATGGTGAATGTGCAGAGATGTGATGTGGAGGGGAGACAAGGTACAGGAGGGCGTCCCTGCTCTCTAAATTAAGGTCAACCGACAAGAGTTAACTAAGCACGTTGGCTTTTTTATGCTGTAGTGTTTTCACATCACCACCACTGGAGGAATTCTTCCTCCAGTTCAAGGCTACTGGGATCTCTCCCCTCCCTACTCAACTTTGCTGCCATGGCTGTCTCACCTGCATCCTTGACATCTATGCTGCCAGGCTGCCATCATCCCTTCAGGCCTGTCCTGGAAAGACTCAGGACGTGTAAACTCAGTTTAGCCAAAGAGAAAAGCAGGGTAATGGAGAACTGAGAACTGAGTGTTGCCTTTCTGCAACAGGAGAACTAAAGCAGCTTTGGTCTCATCCTCACTAAAGGAAAACCACAAGGAGCTGCTCGCTCCCCATGCACACACACTGAGATGACTAAATCCAGCACTGGGGAGAGCTATTTAAGCTAATGGCCAATGCTGGCATGGGAATAAATGGAAGCAAACCAGCCATGAATAAATTGAGGCTGGAAATGCAAAGAAGGTTCACCCCATCCGGAGCAGTGAGGTTGAGCAGCAGCTTGTCCGTGGGAAGAGTGTGGGCATGAAACCAAATGGCTCCTGGGATGCAAGTCATCGAGCTTCCGCAGGAGATGTAACCACTTCAGTGGGACTTGCTGACCCAGGGAGCCCTTTCCCACCTCATGGAACCACGGCCATCAGTTCTTAGACCCTCAGATCCCTCCATGTGCACAGGAGTTAGCCAACAATACCCCAGGCTTGAGGGAGCGAGGAAGGATGAACACTTTAAAACAAGCCTTGGTAGAGCTGGCACAGCCTGTTGTCTTTCAGAAGGATTATAACCAGTTGCTGCTCGCTGATAAATACGGCCCTTTGTGAGCCTGTGCGGGGGACGTGCTGCACAGGAGGAAGGAAAGACTCAGGCACTGATTTAAATGAATGCAAACAAGGAGGACATTGTTCAGCTGCATCCTCCCCAGGAGCGAGGCTTGGAGGCTTCAGAGGTCACCCCTCAGGTCTGATGCAACTGCAGTTACCTTGTAGCTCTGGATAGTCCAGAGAGCCCTTCTGTTTGTTTTGGTGTATCAGTAGGGAAAATCCAGCAGAGAATGGGGTCAGTGAAGCCCTTTGCCTGGCAGAAAGTTTAGCTTTCTGGAAAGCTAAAAAAGGAATCTCCTTTAGGTTAGTCATTTGTAAAAGAGATTTCTCCTATATGTGCATGCATATCCTCAGCTGAGAACTACAGAAAACTCTTCAATGCATAGGTGTTCATACATTCATGGGAAGTCAAAACTTTAAAACTACCCAAAGTATAAAGTGCATTGATGTGTTAGAAATTGCTGTGAATTATCCAAATACTGCTGTTCCAACCCTATAATGAATACTTGAAATAAATATTGTAACAACTGAAATATTAAGCTTATACAAAAGGATTTTGGCAGGAGCGTTCTTGCTCTGGAATTCACAGCAACTTTGAGAAGAGCACGTTTCTAGCAAGCATGTTGTGTATGCTGATGACTGGTACTGACTCTGCTCTCATCATTAAATACAGAAATCAGTGTGCAGTGTTTTACTGACAGCTGTGTGTGATGGGGCAGGGGAAAGCTGAAAAATTTAGGAAAGCAAGGATTCCACCCCCTCCCTTTTGATGTTTTTTTTTAAACTTAAGATGGATCCTAAAAAAAAAAAAAGTGCCTAAATAACAGGATTTGGGCTAAGCCTAGCAGTTGTTTAGTTTTATGGGAGAATCCAGATCTCAGATTTACATTTTAAGATCTGCTGCATCTGAGAAATAAATGGTAGTTGGACTTGTCTTATTTCTGGCTTGGACACTAGGACATGAGATAATCCGCAGCTCTACCACTTCCCAAATACCCATGAACTTCTGTGTATTACAGCCCACCTGAAAAAAGAGCTTAAGAAACCTTTCATCTCACAATCTCTCCATATACCACTAGACCTCCCACAGAGCTTGTCAGAAATCAGTTCAAAGGGCTGGATAACCCTCGAGACTTGAGGAACAGAAA